CTAAACCTCCCTTGCTGCAGTTTAAGCCCACTGCTTCTTGTCCTATCATCAGAGGTTAAGGAGAATAATATTTCTCCTTCCTCCTTGTAACAACCTTTCAGGTACTTGAAGACTGTTATTATGTCCCCTCTCAGTCTTCTCTTCTCCAGTTCTTTCAATCTTTCCTCATAGGTCATGTTGTCTAGATCTTTAATCATTTTTGTTGCTCTTCGCTGGACTTTCTCCAATTTGTCCACATCCTTCCTGAAATGTGGCACCTAGAACTGGACACAATACTCCAGCTGAGGCCTAATCAGCGTGGAGTAGAGCGGGAGAATTACTTCTTGTGTCTTGCTTACAACACTCCTGCTAATACATCCCAGAATGATGTTTGCTTTTTTTGCAACAGTGTTACACCGTTGACTCATATTTAGCTTGTGGTCCACTATGACCCCTAGATACCTTTCTGCAGTACTCCTTCCTAGGTAGTCATTTCCCATTTTGTATGTGTGTAACAGATTGTTCCTTCCTAGGTGGAGTACATTGCATTTGTCCTTATTGGATTTCATCCTATTTTCCTCAGACCATTTCTCAAGTTTGTCCAGATCATTTTGAATTTTCATCCTATCCTCCAAGGCACTTGCAACCCCTCCCAGCTTGCTATCATCTACAAACTTTACAAGGGTACTCTCTATGCCATCATCTAAATCATTGCTGAAGAAATTGAAAAGAACCAGACCCAGAACTGATCCCTGCGGAACCCCATTCGTTATGCCCTTCCAGCCTGACTGTGAACCATTGATAACGACTCTCTGGGAATGGTTATCTAACCAGTTATGCACCCACCTTATAGTAGCTCCATCCAGGTTGTATTTCCCTAGTTTGTTAATTAAAAGGTCATGTGATACCGTATCAAAAGCCTTACTAAAGTCCAGGTATACCACTTCTACCACTTCGCCCCTATCCACAAGGCTTGTTACCCTGTCAAAAAAAGCTATCAGGTTGGTTTGACATGATTTGTTTGTGACAAATCCATGCTGACTATTACTTATCACCTTATTATCTTCTAGATGTTTGCAAATTGATTCCTTAATTATTTGCTACATTATTTTTCCTGGTACAGAAGTTAAGCTGACTGGTCTATAATTTCCTGAGTTGCCTTATTTCCCTTCTTATAGATGGACACAATATATGCCCTTTTCCAGTCTTCTGGAATGTCTCCCATCTTCCATGACTTTTCAAAGATAATTGCTAATGGCTCACATATCTCCTCAGTCAGCTCCTTGAGTATTCTAGGATGCATTTCATCAGGCCCTGGTGACTTGAAGATTAACTTGTCTAAATAATTTTTAACTTGATCTTTCCCTATTTTTGCTTCTGATCCTACCCCGTTTCTACTGGCATTCCTTGTGTTAGGCATCCAGTTGCCACCAACCTTCTTGGTGAAAACCGAAACAAAGAAATCATTAAGCACCTCTGCCATTTCCACATTTTCTGTTATTGTTTTTCCCTCTTCATTGAGTAACGGGCCTACCATGTCCTTGGTCTTCCTCTTGCTTCTAATATATTTGTGGAATGTTTTCTTGTTGCCCTTTATGTATCCAGCAAGTTTGATCTCATTTTGCGCCTTGGCCTTTCTAATTTTGCCCCTACAGACTTGTGTTGTTTGTTTATATTCATCTTTTGTAATTTGACCTAGTTTCCACTTTTTGTAGGACTCTTTTTTGATTTTTAGATCATTCAAGATCTCCTGGTTAAGCCATGGTGGTCGCTTGCCATACTTCCTATCTTTCCTACGCAGTGGAATAGTTTGCTCTTGTGCCCTTAATAATGTTTCTTTGAAGAACTGCCAACTGTCTTCAATTGTTTTTCCCCTTAGAGTTGCTTCCTATGGGATCTTACCTACCAACTCCCTGAGTTTGTTGAAGTCTACCTTCTTGAAATCCATTTTCTTAATTTTGCTATTTTCCCTCCTACCTGTCCTTAGACTCATGAACTCTATCATTTCATGATCGCTTTCACCCAAGCTGCCTTCCACTTTCAAATTCTCAGCCAGTTCCTCTCTATTCATCAAAATCAAATCTAGAACAGACTCTCTCCTAGTAGCTTTCTCTACCTTCTGGAATAAAAAATTGTCTCCAATACATTCTAAGAACTTGTTGGATAATCT